ATAAGAATCAAAGAATGTGGCAGCTTCAAGAGCCCTTCCCACATTCTATAGATACTGCTACTATGTCTTTAAAGGAGAATAGAATGTTGGGAGAGTGGACCATAAGTTCTCAGGGCTGCTAAGTGTGTGTCTGGTGTAGAGAAAAAGAACTAAGTGAATTTCTTTTCCAAAAGACTGAATAAGTTAATTGTAATACTTGAGAAAAAGTGAAGAAATATGTCCTGAGGAAAATCAGTTTAAATCTCCATCCAGAAAATTCCTGAGAAATGTTGACTGTCATCTTGAGAGCTAAATGATAAGAATGCATTTCCAGAGATGAGGAATAAGCAGATATTGTTGTTGGTTGAGGTGACTTTGGCTGTGATCTATCTCATTATGATATATTATTGAAATATTTAAATTTGTCTTTGCATTGTTTGTATGATATTGATTGATAAACTATATTGCCAGGCATACTAATGTTTATTTAAACTTATGAGACTAGAGGATTTGAGAAATGAAGAGATGAGCAAAAGTTTGAGCTCTGAGAGCTAATGGATTAATTGCTGAGAGATGTGCATTTCTATTAACTTATGATAAATTAGCACTCATTTATCATAAGTTAATGTTAAAGTTAAAATTATTATTAATTCATCATAAGTTAATAGAAATGCACATCTCTCATTAATTAGAGTATACCTCTTGATTGCCTTAGAATCTTATTTTAGAATTAATGTTTTTGACTACTGTAACACACCACATAGCCCACCAGATAACAACATAGGCTGAATGCTTTTATCTCTAAAGTCTATTATAACTTCAAATACTCTAGTGTGGTTATAGCTCCAGGAAGGGTAGTGTCAAAGAGAAAAGTCTTAAAAGGCTTCCTGGGGGAAATCATGGGATGTATAAGTTATGAAGCCGGAAAGGATCTCAGAAAGTGTAGGATCATAGGACCATGGGACCATAGATTTAGAGATGGAAGTGAAATTAGAGACCATCTAGTCTAACCTCCTCATTTTTCAGATGAGAAAAATGAGACCCAGAGAAACAAATTAACTTGGTCAAGATTTGAACTTACATCTTCAGTTCAAGTTTTGAGCCCAACGCCAAACACTCCCAATGGTGGAGTCCGCTCTATTCCACCATGCTATTCCTGAAAAGCAGACTGTTAAAGGAGACTGAGGTGCTGGTGGAAGAGGAGAAGTGGTGGGTGAGCTATAAACTACTCAAAACTTCTAAATCTTCAGGGAATTCTCAGGGAGAAATAAAACCACCTTTTATCCTTCTGCCCTGTCAACAGAAACAATGACCAATAGACGCATATGGAAGTTCACTTTTCACTAATACTTTTTTTATCTAAATGCCTGAAAATTCATAGCTTAGGTGGAGTTTTGATGAATGACCAAAATTCATCTTTTTCTCCTTAGCTCAGGCCTGAGATTTGCCTGGGAACTCTGAGTCAGAGTTTAATAGTTTCCTTAGTTGCTGGAAACTTCATTGATATCCCTTATAAATCTCTTCTCCCAGGAAGTCTATTTTGGGTCACCATAAGTTGTTTAAACACGACTGAGTAGACTCCCAACTCGTGAGACCCAGCAGACCTCTGACATTCTGTCAGTTGGTTCTGACTCTATTTTCTGAATATTTTTGCTAGGAGACAGCCCCAGCCCTCCATCCTATGAAATGTGAATTGTTTATTTTTATAAAATTCATATGTCACCTAACATATGTGTGTATCTAGATAGATAGATAGATAGATAGGTAATGTTACACAATTAAAGCTAAGCTGTATGGAATCCTTATGGCTAATCTTTGTATCTCTTGTATCTGATATGGGCTTACACATAGTAGACACTTAATAAATATTTTTTTTTAAATTGCAATGAATGGAATAGAATTGGTAGAAGAGTTTTCTGCATTGCTAAGGTCTATACCCTCCATGTTTCCCTCCCCAAAAATATTTACCAAAGCATTTTTTTGAGTTTAAGCATTTTTAATGGAAATCTTTCTAAAATGCATTACATATTTTTTAAATAGAGACTATGAAACAATTCAACCTTTCTGAATGACTTAGATCATTAATATGAACTTAGTGATTTTATTGCGGTGAAATACATTAATGCCATATAAACTGACCAAGGTGGGTAGAACTGTTTTACCCTGGACTAAATGACTCTAGCTTGGTATGTTTTTTGAGTTTTGTCTTCTCTTTTGCTATCAGAATAAGAATTGTCATTTCCCATTTCTATCAACCTTTGTCTGCTAGCATCCTTCTTTTTCCTTTTCATTTCTTGCTTTACGTGGATTGTTGGTTTGAAAATTCCATACCCAGGCTTTTAAAAACTACTGATAAGTTAAAAGAGTTAGGATCTGAGTAAGGGCCTGAGATTCTTTCTGATGAACTTTACACTTTCTAATCTCAGTGCTCAAAAGTCTTCTTTATTTGTTTTTTTTTTAATATCTCCACACTGAGCTTCCCAAAGTTAAATGGTCCACCTCAAAAAGTGATGGGTTTCATTGACCAACCACAATACCAGAGGACTAATAATGAAAACTGCTGTCCATCTCCCAGACCCAGAGGGCAGATTAAGACATTTTTCTGCACATGGCCAATGCAGGAATTTGTTTTGTTTGACTATATATGTTTATATCAGGAAGGATTATTTTTCCTGTTTTTTTTTCCAGTGAGGAGGTAAGGAAAGAAGTGGGAAGGAGAGAAGGCAAATCTTCATTTGAAAATAAAATTTAATTTAAAAAAAAAGTAATGGGTTCCCCCTCCATGGAAGCTTTTAAGTAGAAACTGAGTGACCACTTGTTGGGAATGTTAGAGTGGTGATTTCTTTCATGCATAGATCATACTGATGTCCATTCCAACGCCCCACTTAGTAATCTAGACCAAGCCCCACCCACATCTTATACTTCTAGGCATCCCTAGTATCTAACACGTAATGCCCTACTATAACAGCCACTCAGTAAATGTTTATCATTGCTGGAGAAAAGCTCCCATTAGAGATAAGAATGTGAGCATCCTCAGCCTGGCACAACCCTTCCAGATATCACCTCATCCATCCATTCCCTTGCCTCCATTTGGGATGGTCCATTCCCCAGTCTAGACACTTGTGTGTCATTTGTTCATTCCACAAGCATTTGATAATCCTCATTCTGCATGTCTAGCACTGTGCTAGGCACCATGGGAGATACAGAAGGAGCTGATGACATAATCCTTGTCATTAGGAGTTTATAAATCTCTTTGAAGAGATGAGGCCTATGGAATAAAACTGGGAGAGAATGTCAACAAATAAAAGATAACAGACCTCACTGTATAAAAATAATAAATATTTCACCCTTTCTTCAAGATCTCCAAGAAATAAAATTCAGCAGCCTCTCCCTATGTCCCCCATGCTGTTCTATTCTACACCCCAAAGAAGTTGAGCCTTGATGTTCACATATACCAAGCAGGGTCCCTGGGTTTGGATGGTGGCATGGAGCCTGTGGGAGGAGATGACAAGCAGAAAGAATGCATCTGTCCTAGAGCTTTTGCCAATCCTGGACAGCTGATGCTTTCAGAAAAGTATGCCAGAGAATCTGAAACACTATTGATAATGAGGCTGCTCATTTTTGAAAGGCTGTAACCAGATAGCCTAGGGAAAACAGACTTGTTTCCCAGAGTATAACTACAGGTTTGAAGCAGCTCATGGAAGATAGGCTATAGTCTGGCTCCTTTGTAGACCTGTTGTTTATTGGGAAATGATGCCAAAGGAATCAGAATATTACACTAATTCCCTCTCCCTCTCCCTCCTTCTGCCAGAAGCTGATAAAAGTTGTAGAAAATCATAAACCTAGCACACACTGAATTAACTTTTCCTTCCTGGAGTTCATGACTAATTGGTGACTAGAGAATCAAGCCTATGTAGAAGAGATATTAATTGACTATAGAGGAAAAAATGTTGGTCAGAAATCCCAACCTTCTTTCTCTCACTTCCTATCTCTTTGGCTTTGGAAATTCAGTCCAAAAGTCCAGTTGACTTTAATCTCCTTTACTCTACGAACTCTGCCCTTCACCCATGCCTGAACTATCACATAATAGTAATAGCTAATACTTATATCTCACCTTTTATGTGCCAAGCACTATGTAAATCACTTTATAGATATTATCTCATTCGATCCTCACAACAATGCTATTACTACCTCCATTTTACAGCTGAGGAAACTGAAGTAGTCAGGTCAAGAGACTTGCCCAGGGTCACACTGCTGGCAAGTGTCTGAGGCCAGATTTGAACTCAACCCTTCCTGATTCCAGGCCCAGAGCTCTATTCTCTATACAACCTAGCTGCCCCATATTATTGTGCCCACCTTCCTCCCCACCTCTATTATCATCAATGTCATCACTACTTACATTCGTCTAACACTTGAAGTCAGTTTCCTCGCAACAACCCTGTGAGATAGATAGTGCAACTTTTATTATCACCTCCATTTTTGAGATGAAGAAACCAAGACTTTAGGAGGGTTAAATAACATAATCACAGAACTAGTAAGTGGCAGCACTGGGATTTGAACCCAAGTCTCCTGTATCCAGTAAAAGGGCTCTTTCCATTATATCCATGGTCAATATAACCAGGTGAGAGAAAGGGAGGGAGGGAGCTGAAAGAGTGAAAGAAAACCCCAAAACCACCCCAAATGCAAAAGTTAATTTCCTGTCAGGTGGATTCCAAATCCTCGATGAGTTTTATTCTGGGCCTTAATGGGTCTCTTATGCCATCCGTTCCACGTCCTTAATGTTTACCCTACAGTCTCCAGAAACAGAAGTCTTCTGTGTTCTGTGGGGCCAAGTTCATCAGCATTTTCAGGGTGATGGAGGGGAGAGTCTGAAAAAAGAGAATTATTGGGTGACCTGGAACTCCTCAGCAGGTTTCTCGCCACCACCACCCTCTCCTTTCCTCGCCCAGATTGACCACATTCTTCATGGAGAATGTCAAAAAGCTGGCTACAGAGCAGCAGAGGCTAAGAATGCTGGCCCAGAAATGAGCTCTGAATGCCTTTTTCCTAGAGCCTGAGCCCTGGAACCTGTAGCCAACAGGAAGTAATAGTGTCTGACCTTAGCAATGCCTGCAAGGTGAGTCCCATGTCTTACCATCCAGTTACCTAGGCTTGGACTTTGGGTGGGATAAATGGGCAAAGAATTTAAATCAAAAGAGAAGACTTCAAAAGGTCACATAGTTCAGCCTCTTTTCCTCTGAAAAAGTTCACAATTGCCAAAACCTCTGTGCAGATCTAATGATTTCAATTCTCCATGATCTCCGTGGACACATTCATCTGTGGAACTTCAGTCACCTACCTCAGAATTCTATTATATTGTCAGCTGAGGCTCTTTGTAAGGACAACATTATATTATATTTGTTTCAAATTATTCTGGAAAAGTTAGCAATCCAAGGTGATGTAGCTTTGTGGATGACTAACTTTTCTCCCACGACATGGGTAAACTAATGACTTAGTCTGTTTTTTCATTAAAATTCTCCACAATTGCTGAATTAAAGAACTTTCCAGCAGTTCATATTTTGTTCTCTGTTGTAACATCTCTTGGAGCTAATCTGTGAAGTAGGATACCTATGGACACACAAGTGCTCTTGGATTCCCAACATATTATGAAAATAGATGGATAAAATAAAGTATTCTGGTCTTTTTCATTAAAAGTAATAAAAAAAAACTATGTTCCAATTTCTTTTAAAATGTGCAATCAATCAATCAATAAACATTTATTGTCTACTTTGTGCCAGGTACTGAGCAGTAAAGACTTAACCTCTTTAAGATGCAAAGTTGGAAGGAGCTGGAAGCCTGCTGGATAATTCATAGACAAACCTATACAAAGCCTTTTTACAACAAAGGTAGGTTCAAAGGACAGGGAATTGGGCCAGAAAAGCCTTTGATTTTTATACAGAGACAATCACAGGAGTTTATGTAGACCCAGAGACAGTACATGATATTCTCCTGCCTCTAAGCATATATGAGCTCGACAGTCTGTTTACTAGTTGAAAACAAGCCATCACAAAAGGACTTGACATTTATGTAGTGCATTAAGGTTTGCAAAGTACTTTACATACATAGCATTGTCTAATCTTCAACACAGCTCTGGAAGGGCTGAAATATAGATAATATGTAGAAATTGACACTCATAAAAATGAAGTCACCCATGATTATCCAGAAGTAAGATTTGAACTCTGGTCTCCATCTAATTCCAAGCCCTTCTTGCATAATAGCTGAGGAGCAGATAAAACATGTCTGCTTATGCAAATAAAATGGGGAGAAAGTTAGAATGAGAAAGGAGTATTCAGAAGACAAATAGTGGTTTCTCTCTATAAGGATTATTTTGAAACAAGAAAGGATCCCTGTTATAACTCTAGGTAATAGCACCGTATCTATGAAGCCTTTTTGACACGCAAGAGAAAGACAATGCTTGTCCTAATAACAATGGTCATAAACTTATAATTATTGTATTAAAATACCATCTATTTGTTTTGGACGCTGTTGATGGTGCCTTTGTCTGACCTTTACTTCTAACACATCCTTGAACCCATCCCTAATTTATATACTATATTGCTGCTTAGTTAAGGCCTCTGGAATACTAACTTCTGACCCCTTCACCCTGAAAACTGAACCCTGGCCTTCCCATTGAACCTTGCAAAATACCCTCCAGATTGTCCTAACTCAGACCTCAGCTTTGGCTAGGGACTCACAGTAACTATGCATCCCTTTCCTAAGGAAATTTTTAACGTTATCTCTAACCTGCATATTACCCTAAATTCTGGCATTTACTTACCATATTCTTTCACCACCCACAACCCAGAATAACAACAGATTTTTAAACATCAGGGTAAAATCACTAAAGCAGACTGCCTGATGCCCCCAAAGTACTGGTCAAACCTGGAACTGTGTAAAAGTCTTAAGAAGTATTTTACTGTCTGCAATTAATAAGGATAAACTAGTTACTCAATCTCTAAGGCAGAAACTGAATCAAATTAAAGAAAGACTAATTACAATTTAAATTTAGTTATGAAGGTCCCATTGTATTTTACACACTGAATGTACTTAGATGTCTTTATTTCTTGATCTCTCTCTCTCTCTCTTTTTTTTTTTTTAGGCAATTGGGGTTAAGTGACTTGCCCAGGGTCATGCAGCTAGTAAGTGTCAACTGTTTGGTCTGAGGCCAGATTTGAACTCAGGTCCTCCTGACTTCAGGGCCAGTCCTCTATCCACTGTGCCACCTAGCTGCCTCTTGATCTCTTTTTCTAAACTATATGTTTCCTTTAGAGTTCTTAAATTATAATGAGTAGTTGATATTCATGACTGTTAACTGTAATAGATGAATAATAAAGATCTAAAAATAATAACTACCATTTCTATAGTACCTTCTATGTGCCAGACTCTATGCTAAGTGCTTTATGAATATTTCATTTGATCTAGTATTTCCTTAATGTGGAAAATGCTTTCCACCAACAGAGATCACAGACTTCCTAAGGACTCATTTCCCAAGCCTCTGAATGATTAATTAACTTATCCAGGGTTGCATAGTAAGTATCAAGAGGCAAGATTTGAACATGTCTTCTTGATTCCAAGTCTAGCACTGATTCTTAAAAGGTAATAGTTTGTTTCATAAATAATAATAATTACAACAACCACAAATAACATTTAAGGTTGATAACCACTTTACATATATTATTTCATTTGTTCCTTACAACAGCCCTGTGAAAATGGTGCTAATATTATCCCCATGTTACAGATGAGGAAACTGAGCTGGAGAGAGTTTTAAGGAATTTGCCCAGGGTCACATAACTAGCAAGTGTCTGAGGCAGGACTTGAACCCAGTTCTTCTTGATCCCAACTCCAGCACTCCAACCATTATAGCACACTGCTTCTTTTTAAAGAAACAAAGAGTTTGTTTTATAAAGAAAAAATTTAGAGTGGAAAAAGATTCTAGGAGACTCAGTTGCCCATGCCCAAGAAAAATCTCCATGGTTAGTCCACACTTCCTTATCTAAGAACCAAAATTAACTTGGTGGCAGCTATGTGAATTATAAGGATAGTGCCTAGGAAGAAATGATCAGTCTGTAGAGGGTAGCCTTCCCTTGCTATGAAATGACAGCAAACATCCAATCTACCTGAACTCCCTGTTGCTGCAATTTGAATCCATTTCCTGTTCTCTTGAGTTAGAAAATAATTGACCAACATCCTTGGGCATCCTGCCACAGATTTATAGATTGGAATCTTGTGTTCTCTAGCACTGCCTTCTACTCTCATTTCCTCATCTCCAGGGTAAACTGTAATTCCTTTTGCCTCTCCTCATAGGCTCTCTGTTCTTCCTCTTTCATAGTTTCTGCTTAGCTGTAAGGCAGATCTCTCCTTAACTACATATTTCTGAAGACATAGATACACAAAGTAAAAGGGGTCAGCCTTGGCAAAATGCTGAAGGTAGTAAAAGTTATCCTAGGATTTAAGAGCACGCAGTAAGGATTCAGTAAAGGTGAGTTGATTGACTTCCCAGTATCCTCTTATAAAAGGATGAGAATTGGGTAGTACTAGGACCTAATTTAGGCCTGAAGGCAGGAAGACTTCCACATGTATGTATAAACATACACACACACACACACACACACACACACACACACACGGACACACACAGCCACCTATATGTATAAACACACAGACCTGTGCACATGAATGTGTGCACACACAGGTACATTAATATACATACATGTTTACATGTATACATACGTGTGTGTGTGTGTGTGTGTGTGTGTGTGCGCATGGGTAATAACCAAGCTGGGGGAAACTCATCCTCTTGCAGAAGGCAACATTTGAGCTGAGTCATAAAGAAAGAGAGAGATTCTAAGGGGCAATGGTGAGAAGGGAGAGCATCCCAGACCTGGGAAACAGCCTGTGACAAAGCCAGGAGGTGGGAGATGGAGTTTTTTGTGCAAGAAACAGCATGGCAACCAGCAGTATGGACAGTTCAGCACAATGCTGATAGAATCACGGAATATTGCAGGGCATCTTATGGGATTTCACAACTTGGATCAGATAGTAACCACAATGGAGAGGGGTTGAAGCTAAGGCCTTCACCAGAGCACGAATGGGATGCCCCCATCTCCAACTTCCTCTGGCAAGCAGTGAGACCCTCCTAACATTCCTCTACACTCTGGCAAGGCAGATCTTGACCCTGCTCATTTAACAGCCTGGAATAAAGGTGGACAGTTCTCTCCTGAAGACTTTCCATATTTTATTAGCTGCTTAAGAAGGTCTTCATAATAAATGCAGTAGCCTGGGAGTGCTGATCTGACAAGGTCTTCCCGATGTCTTGAAGACTTTGCCCCAGAGGAGTAAAGGACTGAGGAACTTGTGGGGCGGGGGAGAAGGAGAAGGGCAGGGAAAAGGCGGTGAAACAGTAGGAGAAGAGAGAATCCTAGGGCTTTGTCCTGGTTTAAGTCTGAACCAGAATTTAAATTAAACCCAAGTAGATTCACCTCTTTGATGAATTTATATGTCTTGATATGGAACCCGAATTATTGGATCATAGATTTAGGGCTGGAAGGAGCCACAGAGGTGCAACCTCCTCATTTTACAGGCCAAGAGAGGTTAAATGATTTGTCCAAGGTCACACAGGTATGAAATAGCAGTGTTGGAACTAAACCCAGGTCTTCTGTTCCTGTATGAGCTGAAGTTTCTCTCTTTCCCCACTAGAATCAGGACCTTTGGGGCCATGTCTGTCCCGGGGAGCTGTGCAATTTACAGAGGACCACAAATAACCAGCCCTTTGGCTCTCAATGCTGGCCAATATCAGAAGAGGGCCCTTTACAGCAACTACCAAAAAAAGATTCATTTTAGGAAGTTAGCAGTCTTTTATGGCCCAGAAAATGTGGAGGAGGTTAGGCCTCAGGTCGGTTCAGTCTGGCCAAATCTCTAAATTCATGGTGTCAGTAATGCTGCTGCTGTTGTTTGTCCTTCATTTCCAGACAGGACCAATGTATTGATTTGCCCATGAGTTGGATTGAAGGGAGATGGAGTTGCACAAAGATGTCAGCCTCACTGTCTCTTCAGAAGCCATTGAAATCCAGTGGCAAGACAAAAGTCAGGATGACTGGCGATGACCCAGGATGCAATGGATGACCTTGGCATCTTCGGGGTTTGACTGAGCTCTAAGGGCTCCACAGTGCCTGCTTCAGCCTCCTTCGTGGCCATCGGAACAAACTGTGCTCATCTGCTTGTTCCACCAGCAGGGAGGGATGTCTTCACATGCTTGGAGTAAATACCCCCTACCTCACCAACAGGCATGCCCCTCAATCTGGCTTAGCCCCTGCGGTGAGATGGTTCTACCAGGGTGTGGCCACTGTGCATGCAGCATTTGGAACCACAGGTTCCAAGGTGGATGAGCATCCCTGAAAATGGCTCAGCAAGCCATCACAGAAGAGGTGCTAGTCCTCCCTAAGCACCCCATACACCCCAGAAGTGCTAGACAAGCCCCTACATGTAACAGTCTCCCAGAAATCTTAGTGCAGATTTAAGCTTTAATAGCTTAATAATGCACTGTTTTGTTAGATAATAAAGCAGAATGGGACATTCCACATGTCATGAAATAATAATTACCTGCTCTTGTGGAAGAGCAATAAAAGGATATATATGTAAACATGGACACATGTACGTATACACACATGCATGTATGCATGTGTGTATGTATGTCTGCATAGGTATGTATCTTTGTGTGTATGTGTGTATATGTATCTGTGTATATGTATGCATATATATACATATAGAGATATATACATGTAGACATATATAGACATATAATATGTCTATATGTATATACATGTATATACATATAGACATATAATATGTCTATATGTATATACATGTATATACATATGGGTACATATGCTTACATTTTAAGTATATTTTATGTATTCACACATATATGCATATGTATGTGAACTATGTGTGTGTATGTATGTGTATATAAATATGTACATAAATTCTGATGATGGACAGAAATAAGTGAGTGAGGCAAATGAAAGGAGTCTCAATCTGCAGATAGCTTCACTCACCAATAAGCTTCTGCTGAAAGGGGAGGGAGGTCCAGGAAGGGATCTCCACATACACCAGTAAAGGATTCCAGAAAGGCACTCCTTTCTTTCCTTCTTCATCCTGGGCAGGCTGGTAAGAGCTGTCTTCTACCAGTAACACAAGTTTTCTCGTTAATCTACTTTTAAGTTAGAAATCCCTGCTAGCAGGTAGGTGGTACAGTGGATAAAGCACCGGCCCTGGAGTCAGGAGGACCTGAGTTCAAATATGGCCTCAGACACATAATACTCACTAGCTATCTGACTCTGGGCAAGTCACTTAACCTCAGCTATCTCATGAAAAAAAAATCTCTGCTTATGGCTTCTCCTGATTATCACTTTGAGCTGTCTATGGAATGTTACAGACAAGGCACTCTGCCATCTTTACCCTGCTGCCTTATCCCCTGCCTTCATCCAGATTGTTTCTCCCCCAAACCTCTATAGTTAGAATCAAACATGAAATAGTGGTTAGTAGCTTCTAATTCCTTTTACATAAAGGGGAATAAAGAATACAGTCCCATGGGAGGGGATGGTGAAAGGACAGAGAGGTCTCATGTGTTGGAGATAATAGCAGTCAATATAAGAAGTACATGACTGCAGAAACAGGAGTGGCTTTTCCTGCTTTGTATGTTCCTCACATGATAGAGGATGATGGGATCCTAGAATTGTACGGTTAGATCCCAACTCAGAGGCAAGAGTGAAGAGGAGGATTGGTGTCACTAATTATTTCTCACTCAATCTTCATCAGTTTTTCACCTTAGTAAGAAACCTCACCTGCTTCTCCAGCAGAAGATACCCAGTAGCCAGTGAACAACCATGCTAGAGTCTTTGTGGTGAGAAGCAGATTGATTCTAGAGAGTCAATCTGGTATCAAGACAGAGGATGAACTTTCAACTCTCTACCTCTTGACCCAGCTACTTTGCCTCCTTTCTTCTACTATTTTCTACAAACAGTCCTAGAACCTCAGTCTCATAGCATCAGTGGTTGATGGACTTTGGAAAAGCATCTCTATCTCCATGGTAATTCAGACACAGTGTTATTTTAAACTATAATTCAAGGTAAATCACAAATCTCATCAATCAGCAAATGCTCACACTACCCATTTCCCAAAGCTACCCACATCCTCAGACATGTGCTGTGATGGGGAGCTCTGGTCTTGGCTCTGACTCACTACTCTGGGCTTCTCTTGTAACTGCCACCATACAGCAGGAGCATAATCCATTATCATCCATAACAGGATATTCCACACTCCTCTATAACAGCAGAAGGAGGAGTGTGGAGCCTTACAGAACAGCATTACAGGTCACAGGTACTTATGGCAGTTGGCCAGCATAGGAACCAGTGAGTTTCATAGGGAGCATTGTTGCTTTCTGGCACGGCAATGAAACAAACAAGGTGTTGGAGCCAGTTCCCAGCCACTACTTCTTCCTTGTCTTCCTTTCCAGAACTACTGCCCAGACTCAAGCCTGACTTGTTTTCCTACTGAGAGACATCCTCCTTTCAAATTGGATGTGCCACAAGTTGCTGAGTTCCATGCACAGGCTTCTGGGAGGTATGGTTCCCAAAGAGAGCATGTGGTAAATGGCCTTTACCATCTCTCCTTACATCCTAAATCAGAAAATATCACAATAATAACACAAATGAATCAAATGCTTGAGAGTCACAAAACATTTGAATCCTCATTTACAGAAACATTAAGACCATACACATGGATGAGCCTGGCTTCCCAGCAATGAGGGGGTCACAGTCACATATCCAAATGCCCCAGCTAGATATCTGTCAGAATTTGAATTCATACTCAAGGGCTAAAGTGTTCTAGAAACAAATCATCTGGCTAATGTTAGCCAGGATTAGTTTCTCAACCCAGCTCCATGTCCTAAAGGAATGGGACTGGAAAGCAAAGTCAGGTAAAGAGAGAGAGGATGGAGGTGGGAGAGGTTAGGGTGGAGAAATGAAGAGATCTCTGGGGCATTCTGGGGCACTGCCCAATCTTGGGTTGCTATGCTTCTTGAAGGATTATTACAGGGGAAAGAACCATTGAAAATTTACTTTGACTTCCTAGTTTTTTTTTCTTAAGGACCACTCCTTGAGCAGACACAAACAAGGCTTGTCACTTTAAGTCACTTTGGGCAAAGTTGTGCTGCTCCTCAAACTGCCAGACATCTGTTGTAACTACATCTGGCCACGAAAGTTGAAACTAAATGGCCACAAGAAGTCATCTCTTCACTTAGGTCAGCACAAATTATAGGGGTTTTTCAGGGTTTTCTAATGGTTCAGAGTTAGTCCTCAAAGGGATGTATATAAAACAGAACTTTTTTTAAATGATGGAAGGCAGAGGGAAGGCACATGGGGTGTAATGTTCAACCCAAGTCTGCTTGGATTGTCATATTAATTATACTTTTCTCTTTCCCAATAGAAGAATTCACAGCCTCCTAGAACTTCAGAGTTGGAAGAGGCATCAACAGCTATTCAGGCTAATCCATTTTGGGGGAAAAAATCCTTTTGTAGCATACCTGGCAAATGGTCACCTAATTTGTCCTCGAAAACCTTTCAATGAAGGGGAACCTTCCATCTTCCAAAGCAGCCCATTCCAAATTATTGGAAAATCTGTTTCAACGTATGTTAAACCTTTTCAGCCCTTGTTTCTAATTCTCCCCTCTGAGGCTGACCACTGTCTAATCCTCTTACCTCATCATTCTTCAAAAACTCAAAGACAGCTAGCTACCAATTTAATGCTAGCTTTCCCATGCTGAGCTCTACCAAAGAGTTAATGTTTCCCTATAGTAAGGGTTTCCCTAGAATCAGCCAGTATAAATAGAATCTCACTTGACTTCGGGCTTCTCATCAGTCTCAGTGTTACAAGGTTCCACAAGGCTATATGGGGTGGGGGGAGGAAGGGGCACCTCTGTGGAACAATCCCCAGCCCATGACAGTTCCTAAGGGGTCAACCCAAGATCATGGATGGGCTTTTCAGCCATTTGAAAGGGATAGTTTCCAAGATTGTATGACTACGGCTAAGCCCCCTTTCTGCCACTTAAGTTTCCTTGTCTTTAAAAATGAGGTATGCTCACATCTAAAGGACCATTTAGTTCTTCCATTGTCTAAAAAGTAGACTAGTTTGCCATCATTACTGAGCATCACACACCATTTTCTATGTGATGGACTCCTCTGGCACTCTGGTGAAGCCTATGGATCCCTTCTCAAAATAATGCTCTTAAAGGCATAAAATAATATATGCAGGATTATAAAGGAAACCAATTCTATTCCAATATAGTTGTAAATTATTTTAAAAGCTCATGTATCTCTTTTTAGAAACTTCTTGCTAAAAAAAAATAAGATTGAATAAAACTAAACCCTGGCAGAGGAAGAGCAGGAGACAGGAGGAAAGTAGCAAATCATTTATTGAATGGGAAAAGCTAGGCTGCTAAATTGTTATATGGATGAGAACTGGATAAAGTCCCTTCTAGTATTTGTTAAGAGGAAGAAAGGATTCACAAGGAGTTCTCTTAATTTCAGAAGCTCACAATCAAGCAACCCTGGAAAGATTCTTCCATTTAATAATAACTCACATTGATATGTTGCTCTGAGGTTTGCGAAGTACTTTATACTCATTATCTTACTTGATACTTAGAGCAACCCTGTGAGGTAATAGGAATAATATCTCACATATATATATATGTGTATGTATGTGTGTGTGCGTGTGCGTTTGTATACTGCTTTAAGTACACACACACACACACACACACATATATATATATATATATACTGCTTTAAGATTTGCAAAGTGTGAAAGCTTTATCCCATTTCATGCTTAAACCTGGATAACATAGAAGCTATTGTTATCCTCATTTTATACATGGAAACTGAGTCTCAGAGAAGCTTAATGACTTACCCAGGATCTCACAACTGGTAATGATCTGAGGCATCCACTACCTTGTGCTGCCTCATTGGAAATTATAGCAGTAACCCTATTAAGAGAAGGCATTCTGTTCTTTAACATACAAACACTCCTTTTGTCATCATTGAGTTATACAGTCACTGTCAAGATAACTGTGGACTAGACTGGTCTAGAAAGTTTTGTGATGAACATGGGGCTTCTGTTGGGCCAAGAAAAAAAAAAACTGAAAAATAGGGAAAAAGAAGAAATTATGAAGAGGTAGGAAGAAATAAAAGAACTATACAAGAAAGATCTTAACCTCACCAATAATTATAATGGTGTGGTTACTGATCTAGAGCCAGATATCCTGGAGAATGAAGTCAAGTGTGGTTTAGGAAGCATTGCTAACAATAAGGCTAGTGGAGGTGATGGAATTCCAGCTGAGCTATTTAAAATCCTGAAAGATGATGCTGTTAAAGTGCTGCATTAAATGCGTTAGCAAATTTGGAAAACTCAACAGTGGTTGCTGGATTGGAAAAGACCAGTTTACATCCCAGTCCTAAAGAAGGAAAATGCCAAGGAATGTTCAAATTACTGAACAATTGTGCTTATTTCATATGCCAGCAAGCTT